AAAAAAAAAAAAAAGAGAGCTGATGGTGCTCAGCTATGTACTTGTGTTCTATAGATGAACACTGAAGGCCCATCAAGGGCAATCTCTTCCATACAAATCTGCTGTCTTCGGAGTGGCTTTGAGAACACACACAGACACACACATGCCTTTTGTTTGAATGTATACACAAAATTAACTCTTAAAAGAGAACTGAAGAAAAATCGCACATCCTTCAGTGACATCCAAACTGAACTTAGAAGAAAAGTTTTAAGATTATGCTTAAGATTGTGTTTTTAAGATCATGAATAATGGAAATGATTTCGCCAGTCAAAAGTTGGTAAATCCAGGCTGTGTGTGGTGGATGACACCTGTAATCCTGGCCCTCTGGAAGGCTGAGGTAGGTGGATCACTTGAGCTCAGCAGTTAGAGACCAGTCTGAACCAGAGTGAAATCCTATCTCTAAAAAATAATCCCCAAAACAAAAAAACTAGCTGGGTATTATGGCAGGTGCCCCCAGTCCAGTGGTTCTCAACCTTCCTAATGCCATGGCCCTTTAATACAGTTAATGTGTCATGAAGTTGAGAACCGCTGTCCTATTCCCAGCTACTTGGGAGGCTGAGGCAAGATCACTGGAGCCCAGGAGTTTGTTTGCTGTGAGCTATGAAGCCTACCAAGCATTCTTACCAAGGGTGACAAAGGAAGACTGTTTAAAAAAAAAAAAAAAGTCAGTAAATCCATTCAAAAATGAAGTGATGAGCTGAATGCATAGATGTTCTTAAATATCCTGTCCACTGCTAAAGTCAGAAGGCAGGAACACCATCAGCTGCAGGACATGCTTCCCGGCCTCAGTGTTCACTGGCAGGATGCACTTCCTGGTGGGCCGGGGGCCAGAGGCAGCTCCTGGTTTCCTGGCATTCAGGCCCCTTCACAGGGCAGCTCACCGCACAAAGGCTTGATTCCTCCAAGCCTCCCTGAGACAGTCCCCTGGAAAGGGTGCCCAGCACAGCCACTCAGTGCTGTTGGATGGAGTGAGGGGGCTGGAATGTTCCTGCCCTGCTCTGCCAGCCAGCCAGGGCTCCCCCTGGGGTGGGTACTTCTTGTTCGTCTGGCTTGTCAGGCTCTCTGAGCACAGGGGCAAAGTGCAGTGCTGTACCAGAGGCCAGTGTCCTACAGGGAGAGGCCAGGGTCAGCTGCAAAAAAGCATTCATGGCAAATGTAGCTGCTGGAGCAGATGACCACTGACTGAACAGCTTACAAGGCTCTTCTATCATAGTGCTGGAGGCTGGCAGTCTAAAATCCAGAAGAGGAGAAGGCCGTGTGACCACAGCAAAGACTGGAGCAATGTGACAGCACACCAGGGAATGCCAACTGCCAGCATACCAGAAGCTGGAATGGATGAAGGTTCTTCCGTGGAGACTCCAGAGGGGCGTCGGAATTCAGACTTGTGGTCTGCAGAAGTGGGAGAGAAAGTCTCTCTTGTTCTAAGCTACCATATTTCTGGTAATTTACACACAGTATTACAAAATTAACACAAAGGCATCCTATACTCAACCTGCCCAAACAAACTCACTACCTCCTCGTACCCCATTCTGCTCCCAGTCTCCCAGTTATCAGTGTCTTCACGCAGTTACTGAAGCCAGAACCCCAAGAGCTGTCTCTGACACCACTGCCTACACACACACCCCCACACTGCGCTCCATATGTGTCCTTCCCTGCCTCCACTGTCCTCTGCATTCACACGCTGCCCTTGATCACTGCTTGTGCTAGCAACCTCTTCCCTATGCCTGGTCTCCACACTCCTCCAGTGGAAATCCATGTCCTTTGCCTCTTCAACCCAGTCCTTTTGCCAGTGCGTGGAGGAACCCCTGGCTCTCTCAGTACTCTGCCTTCCCCAGCCCTGTCTTAGGCTAAAGTCATTTGTGGACCACAGTCACCCTTCATTCCTTGGATGTAGTCCCTGGCCACCTGCAGCCCTCATCTACCGTTCTCCTGTTCCAGTGTCCATGTGGATGCACCTCTGAGGTCTGTGACCTTGACTGGTGATCTTCTCCTTCCTGAGCTCAGTTACCACACTGAGGTCACACTGTGGTACTCAACATTACCAGGGGCAGCAGCAGGACCCCTCTCCCCCATTCCAGGTACCCTCCCCCCCACTACCCACCCCCCATGGGCACAGGTCCCACCTGCTTCCTCCCTGCTGTCTCCAGGTCTGAGACACAGCCTGGCCCACAGTCCACGGGCTCAGTAGCTTGGTGGAAGGAATAAGCTCTGCTGGCCACCAGGTACTACTGCAGTGACGCTTTGGATGTGGGAACAGCCTTTCCAAACCTGCCTTTGGCATTATTCTTCAGAGTTTAAAGAGAGCCGAACTCAGAGACTTCTACCTCCAGTCTGGAGGCTCCCAATAGGACCTCCAGTCAGCATGCAGCCTTTCTGGGGGCCACCAAATGAACCCACACCCCACTTCCTCTCCGCCCAAGACAGCTGTCATCGTGGCTTGGATGTGCTTTGAAATACTTAAGGGAAAAAAGTGGGCAATGGCTCAAACGAGACCTCTACTTCTGTGTTCCTTTGAAATTTCCACAATGAAAGGTGAAAAATGAAAAGATTTCATGTGCAGCTTTATAATTTTTTTCTTTTTCATCTCTAATTTCTCTCCTGCTGAAATTTTTGCAGTTAAAAGTGGCTTAGCACTTAATTGCTCTGTGATTTTTTTTTTCACGAGATTTATTTTTCCTTGCAGAGTTAATGTTTCATATTTCCTGCGACCTTTACATTCCCCAGCAACCCCACCCCCAGTGCTGGGTGAGTAAAAAGGGCTCAGGAAACAAGAGGCTCACTGGCTACTTTATTACAATGCAAGAAACAGCCAATGGCTTCCCAAAGCTACATCATGCTAAAATATGAAAACTTTGTTACAGTAGCTCCAGCTAAGTACTGTATTCTTTTAAAGATTCCTGATTTGAAGTTACTTATTGAAATGTATCTAAATTTAAACCTATGTCATAAATCTGTTACATAATTTAGACATTACATAATTATATATACACACACTGTATAAATACATAAAAAAGGAAACATGGCCTTTTATATAACGTTTTTTAAAAACAGACTTATTGATGTATAATTCATAAGTATGTCACACATATAAGCAGCTTAGAGTGCAGTAATGCCATAGCTCACAGCAATCTCAAACTCCTAGGCTCAAGTGATCACCCTGCCTCAGCCTCTTGAGAAGCTGGGACCACAGGCTTCTGCTGCAATGCTGAGCTAATTTTCCTGTTTTTAGTAGTGACAGGGTCTTGCTGTTGCTCAGACTGTTCTTGAACTCCAAAAGCTCAAGTAATCCTCCCACCTCAGCCTCCCAGCGTGCTAAGAATACAGGTGTGAGCCACTGCACCCGGCCCACACACGTAACATTTTAAAGAACACATCCTAAATGTAAGAGAATGTGAACTTGAGCAGACCCACTGAGCACCCAGCTTGATCAGATGAGCTGTCTCACTGGTGGGCTTCAGCCTTTTTCCTGTTCGGCAGTTAGTAACCGTAGATCAAGGGAATCCCTAAAGGTGGCAGTCCAAGTATCTGACAGAGGAAAGCCAACATGCCACACAGTGAGAACCTCCCTCAGCTGCCATCACTGAACCCAGCAGACGTCTGGTGCCTGCAACAGGAAGAGCAGGGGTCTCTTATGGGAACCTGGGCTCAAGTTATTTAACACTCAGAGTCTCAGTTTCTTTAACTGTAAAATAGGGTGATGCATATACCCAGCAATGTAGAGAGGACCTGAGTACTTTATAGATGATGCCTGACACACAGAAGATGCTCAGTGAATGAGAGCTACTATTTTGTAGTTGCTGAGGCCATTTCCTTCCTCAGTGAAAAGTAGCAGGCCCTAGAATGCAAACTCCAAATGTGGAATCCATAAATAGGATAATGGTGCCAGGCACAGGCAGAGACCAAGTGGTGTCCCCGCCCTCCTTCCACCAGTACAGACAGAGGAAAGCTCTTCCCTGGAGGTCTATAAATTTTCCAACAACAAAAGCATCAGTGTAAAGTAAAATCCTTCAGTGGTCAGATGGGGGAGTCAGTGGGGAGTGGTTCAGCATTCAGCATTTTATCACTGGCAGATGTGCCCAGTAAGTCAAATCCCAATCAGCAGTCTACAGTAATAACTGGTAGAAATCAAGGATAAGATGATGAACCTTGGTGACAAAGGCTAAACTTGCAACATCACAGTTTTCCTTTAATTGTATCACTCGCGTGCTCTCCAATCTTGGCCGACCCTCTGCCAGTCTGAAGTCACAGGGACCCTAACTCAGGTGCATGTGGGGCAAGTAGGAAACTGTTAACAATGCCCTTTAAAAAAAGACCACTCTTGACTCCATAGAGCCAGTAACTTAAAAGATAAAAAGTAAAAATTTGGAACACCATCCTCCACCACATTCCATGAGTGTAAATCTTCTTGTTAGAACAAAAACTAAAATAATTTGAGCTCTATTTCACAAAAAGGATTAGTCTCTGTAAGTTGGTTGATTTGCCTTTGATTCATTGACTGATTCCTTCACTGTTGACAAAGTAAAAGCAGAACTACCTTCAAGGTCACCTGTCTCTTCTCTCTCACAGGAAATAAACCTCAGATTTGGAAAAAGTTCAATCAATACCTAATGCTCCTAAACCCCAGATGTAGGTGCCCAAAGGTAATGCTCCCTGCAGATTCAGAAGAGAGTACAGGCTCACCCTCGGGTGCTCTGAGCAATGAAGCTGAATGCTCACACAGTAAGAAGTTACACAGGCTTCCCAAAGGACAAAAGACAAATGCCCACAAATATATTTTACCTTTGGAAATTCTGGCAGAGTAGTGACTTCTCAGAAAAGGCCATCGCTACTAAGAGTCCATGTGCTAGTTCAATATCATACTACACTCTCCCAAGGGGGTGCAAGGTTGATATATTGGGGGGGTGCCTTTCAGCCACAAGACACTGATTTTTCTTTTTTGAGACAGTCTCACTTTGTCACCCTTGGTAGAGTGCTGTGTTGTCATAGCTCAAGTGATCCTCTTGCCTCAGCCTCTCAAGTACCTGGGACTACCGGTACCTGCCATAGTGCCTGGTTATTGATTTATTTTGCAGCTTTTGGCTGGGGCCAGGTTTGAACCCACCACCTCCAGTATACGGGGCCGGCACCCTATTCCTTTGAGATGCAGGCACTGCTCCCCCGTCTCCCCCCCCCACCCCGGCTATTTTTTAGAGATGGGGTCTCACTCTTGCTCAGGCTGGTCTCAAACTCTTGAGCTCAAGGAATTCACCCACCTGGACCTCCCAGAGTGGTACGATTTCAGGCATGAGCCACCGCAACCCGGCAAGACACTGATGTTTTCACAAGATGTCTGAGAGTGTCCTGTGATGAAAATGCAAACACAACATAGAAGTCTCAATGTGATGACAGCACAGATAAGACATGCTCAACTATAAAGTAACCCCAAGAATTGTGATTAAAGGATGATGAGTCTAAGTGGGCATCTGTCTCATGGCAGGCCACACCAATCTTGGGCCAGTCCCTTTCAAACATGCTAAGGTCACTATAGATAGCAGCCTTGTAAATATTCCAATGATGCTAAACTTTTAATGTGAAGATTTAAAAAAAAAACTCAACAAAATAATATTTGGTAAGGACAAATGCAAATTTGCACTTAAGTTTAAGAACGGGAGTATTGAAAGTATAACCCTTTCAAGGGACAGATGATCTAGCAATGATTATGTAAGAACAAAAAATGTTTAAGATGACTTGGGGGCTGCATACGATAATATCAGATTGATGGAGACAACTAAATCATTGTCTCTGCTTTATACTGAATCTAATGGTCAGAATTTCAGCCCCTGAGAGGAGCTCAGCCTTAAGTCTTTATCAGCTTTGGGAGTGGGGGAGAGGGCTGGTTTTAGGGACAAGGAGATTTCTGCATCTGATAAGCACACTCTGTACTTGTATGTGGTCTTTTGTCTTTTGGTTTACTGCTGTCCATCCATTTCTTAAATTTTTGAGTTAACTGTGGATTCACATGTAGTCATAAATAAAACAGGGAGGTCTCTTGCCCTCTTCCCCTGCCTTGTTCAGCGGTAACACCTTATAAAACTACAGCAGGATATCACAACCTAGACTGATGCTGATACAATCTGCCAGGTTTGTTCGGATTTCCCCAGTTTCACTCATTTGTGTATTTAGTTCTGTGCAATTTAATCAATCTGCAAGGACTCCTGTGACCACCAAAGTCACCGTACAGCTGAGATTCAGAGAGCACAATTCTTTTTTTTTTTTTTTTT